CACAACTTCTCTGGGCAACCTGTTCCAGTGTCTGACCACCCTCACAGTGAAGAACTTCTTCCTAATATCTAATCTAAACCTCCCCTCTTTCAGCTTAAACCCATTTCCCCTTGTTTTGTCATTAACTGCCCTTAGGAAAAGTCCCTCCCCACCCTTCCTGGAGCCCCTTCAGGTACTGGGAGGCCACTAGAAGGTCCCCCCAGAGCCTTCTCTTCTCCAGGCTGAACAGCCCCAACTCTCTCAGCCTGTCTTCATAGGAGAGCTGCTCCAGCCCTCAGATCATCCTGGTGGCCTCCTCTGGACTTGTTCCAGCTGCTCCAGGTCTCTCTTGTGTTGGGGGCTCCAGAACTGGACGCAGTATTCCAGGTGGGGCCTTACAAGAGCAGAGTAGAGGGGCAGAATCACCTCCCTCGAACTGCTGGACACGCTTCTCTTGATGCAGCCCAGGATACAGTTACATAGTGAAATAGGATTCTCCTTCCGCCAACAAAATTCTCACTTTGCTTTTTAAAACTGATCTTCCAGTAACACTTCATAACCGCATCATTTTTCCTGCATCGATGATGGAATTCCATAAATTAAATTCCTACCCATATTTTAGAAGAAATCTGGAACAGCAATAGACTTAATTTTAAAAATTGCTCCACGTTTCTATTAAGAATGTCAGACCCTTGAATATTTTCATTAATAGAATCTTACGTAATTTCCATCTCTCCTGAGCAAGTGTACATAACTAGCCCTTGAAACAGGCTCTCTGATACATTACCGATATTGGCTCTTCTCTTGATTTCCTTTCTTCTGTTGGCAAACCAATTGTACACTTTAAGGGAGGTAACTCGCTCCAAATCTGATAACTTTTTTCCTATGAAAGTAACATGGGGAAAAAAAAAAATACAGCTTTGTTACTCACAGGGTTCCAGAGGTGGCAAAAAGCCTTTATATATATATGTGATAAAGCCCTGAAATATAGACAGCACTGAAAAGTTATTATAACTGAGAATAAAGTGAATTTGATGTGAATCAGAGCACCGTGCCCAGATGCTATGGTAATAAATGCCAAATATCGCTCTAAAAACAAAGTAGCCTTTCTTTTTTTAAAAAAAATCTGAAATACAGGAATTTCTTTGCAGCTTCAATCAACTAAATCCAGATCTGGGGGAGAAGAGAGGGCTGCTCTTCCAGTTCAAGCACAAACCTGAGATTCAGAAACTCAAATTCAATCCACAGGCTGCCACAAATCGCACACCCTCGGGCTAGTTCTCTTCCTACGTGCCGTGAGGATATAGTTCAATGATGGGTTTTCTTCAGCAGCAAAATGAATGAGGACATTTGTTGTCCCCTCTCCAACCTGCTTTCCTTCCTCTCCACCACCAGCCGCTATCATGTTCCCATAACCTCCCAATTGTGCCAGGAGACTTGTGATCTTTTGGTTCACAAAAGATCTTTAGGTTTGTGATCACAAAAGATCTTCACCTTTGTGATCTTTAGGTTCCTGCTCTGGCAGGGGGATTGGACTGGATGATCTTTCGAGGTCCCTTCCAATCCTCAACATTCTGTGATTCTGTGGGAGAAGGAGGAGATGTTGGAAACCAGATCACTGGCATTTTACACTGAAACCAGCAAATGAAATCCCAACAACCATAGAATCACAGAACTGTCTCGATTGGAAAAGACCTGCAAGATCATAAAGTCCAATCATTAACCTAAAATCAATAACCACCAGCCAGCGACAGGAGAAAGAGGGATGACAGGGACAGCATGGAAACCTCTTCAGCTGGCCTTGACCCTGCTCAATGTAGCTGCCTCCTCAGTCCTCTGCAGGCTATGTGGAGATGAGGTTCCCCTGTTTCAGACCTTTTCTCTAAGTTTATTTATTCAGCATATCAAGCATTCATGTAATTGCAGCAATCTGCAAACTTAAATAAGGGGAGATGACACAAGGGAAAGAAAGAAAAATCTGGAAACAGATAGTGCTGTTGTTTCCTAATTCTCTGCATCAGTACTACCCACAGGACTTGACTGATCCTGAGACACAGTGTTCCAGCAGTTTCTCTGAATCATAGAATTGTTTTAAGTTAGAAAAGACCTTTAATATCATTGAGTCCAACCATGAACTCAGCACTACCAATTCCACCTCTAACCCATGTCCCTGAGCACCTACATGTGTTTTAAATGCCTCCAGGGATGGGGACTCCAC